AAAAGCCGGGCAGCAGTTCCAGAGCAGGGTCTGCTGGCAGGTTGTAGTATCAAATTATTTCTTTTCTCACATCAGACTTAAGGAGCAGTACTCTTCCCCAGCTCTACCTGAGCCAGCAGTCATAGCAATCCTTGTCTCTGTTGTGATCGTGGTGGCTGTTGTAGCTGCCATCACACATACCTGTCAGAGGAGGAAAATGAGAAGTCTTGTGCCATGTAAGTACAAAGAGTGTGACTGTAAAGGGGTAGTTCTGTACCATTTAGTCTGAAGAAGTTGCCCTTCCTGCTTGTTGATGGGACTGTTTGCTTTCCTTTGCAGCGATGCAGGAGTCCGAGGTGAGTATCTGTCTCCTTGCTTTCTCTTTTTGGGGAATGTGTTGAAGTGTGCTTTGAGAGGGGCCCAGCAGTGGCTCTTGGCCTTAAGGAATAAGCCCAGGTGTGTGTGGTAGGAGTGGAAGGAGCAGGAATTGCTGATAAAAGCTGCTAAAACCTGACTGTTCATATTCTGTGTTTTCCTCTGATGTGTCCTAAAGCATGAACAGGCTTTGAGGTTCATCGAGGAGAAAGAGGATCAAACAACTGTTCCTGTGCAAGAAGCTGGTGCTGACCCTGAAGAAACCAAGCCTGAATCAGAGAGTCTTGTTTGATCCATGGCAGAAAATGGGGATGGTTAAAAACAACCAAGCACAAAACATTTTTTCTACATATGCATGAGTGACTGTCATCTTTCCTTCCCCCATGGACAGCTGACACTTGGTACACATTGATTATTTCTTTATTGCTTGTTGTTGGGAAAAAGTGGGGATTTTTCCATTTTAATCATTCCATATAACTCATACGTAACAGAGTGTACAAATGTATTTCGAAAAGATTTTTCATTTTAAGGAGTCAAGAAGATATTGCTGAGAAAAGCAATTGTGCACACCATGGCGCATATATGTTTTAATAAAGAAAGTTAATATCTGATCTGACCACTGTGTTTTTGAATAAAGTTTTTATTAATGAGAATCCTTTCTCTCCAATACCAACGAATTTGGACTCGTCAAACCCGTCCCAGGGCAAGAAGAGGTGAGCTCAGACCTTCCTGTCACATGAGCAGGAGTTGTCCTTTGTCAGAGGAGCGTGGGCCCACCAAGGAGGGTTTGAATAATCCTGGCAACAGCTGGGTTTCATTGCTGCCTGTGCTTTTGGTAACCCAAACATCTGCTGGGGGGGTCTGAGTGCAACTGGGTCAAGCAGTGGCAGTGCTGGGAGGGCAGGAGGAGCTGTGAGCAGTCCTGGTGGGCTGGGGCGCTTGGTTTTGGGTCAGGTAGTGCCAGTGAGGCCTCCCTGATGTCTTCCTTCAGCAATGGGGTGTTTGCTGGTTAGTCCTGTGTGTGTGTGTGAGCAGGATTTTGTGGATAGAGACAAAGGTGGCCCCTGAAGTGGGCTTTGAGGGTTTTGTATGCCAGGATTTGAGGGTTTGTTCCATGATTTGAGGGGCTGGTTTGTTTGCCAGGATTTGAAGTGTTTGCCGGTTTTGGAGGGGTTTCTTTGCTGCAATTGAGTATTTTCCTGCCTTTGGGCCTAGGCCATGCCAAAGCCTTCCGTGCTGTAGCGGGCCAGGAGAGAGGGAATGGTGTGACCGTTACGGGCCCCCTCAGAGGACTGGAGCTGCACATGCCCTCCCCTGCCCTTCCTGCAAGTCAATTCCTTTCTTTTGGGTGTCAAGTGGGTACAGAACCCGTCCCATTCCGTCCCACATGTGGCAGCAGCCGTGGGCCGCAGGGAGGCCTCTGAGATGGCGGCAGCAGCCTGGGCAGGGCCCCATCTGTCTGGTGAGTGGGGCCATGAGGGAACTGCCTCAGTGATCGTGAGGGAACAGTCTGGGTGGCCGTGAGGAAACCGCCTCGGTGATTGTGAGGGAACAGTCTTGGTGGCCGTGAGGAAACAGCCTTGGTGCCCCGGAGGCAGAATTCGGTTCTTGAGGTATAACCTGGTCCTTGTGTTGCCCCGAGGTCCTCGCCGTGGTGCTGGTCATGCAGTTGGAGTGTTCGGATGCCGTGGGCTGTGGGATGGGCGAGCACCCCAATGGCACTGAGTGCTGCCCCATATGTGCTGTGGGTATGTACTGGGCTGCCTGCCCTGCCAGCCCTGCCTGCCCTGCCCGCCCTGCCTGCTCTGTCTGCTCTGTCTGCCCTGCCTGCTCTGTCTGCTCTGTTTGCTCTCTCTGCTCTCTCTGCTCACCACATCAGCTTGGGGTGACTCCCTCTGACTCAGGGGCCATGGGGTGACCCACCTCAGTGGACAGTGGCCATGGGGACCCGCCACCCCTGCTGTGCCCGCTGTGCCCTGACAAGAGCCAGGCAGCCCACGGCTGTGAGCATCACCCCAGGGTATTCTCTGCAGCCAGCACTCAGCCCTCACCCAGTGCCAGGCCCTGTCCCTCCCTTGGGAGCCTCCAGAGTGGCCATAACAATCAGCAGAGTTTGTAGGATGTACACATCCAGAGTTCTGGTGCTTTTCAGCAGTGCATCAGGACAAGGCTAAATGTTGTGTCATGTTTCCCAGTGTCAATGCCGTGGCTCTGTGTGTGTGGATTTCTCTCAGGGGCCAACCTGGTGA